TGTGTTTCAATCACCGACCACCACTGAGCCAATGGATTGAACCGGAGTGAACCGGATTTCTCCTGCATTGATTGACCACATAATTTTGTTGCAAAACATGGGTATACAGCTATTAATTATACATATTATTGTTAAACGAGTAGCGAAATATACATGCCCAATCTTTTCACAATATAAGCCCAATGAGGGTGGGGGATGGGGGTGAAACAACACCAACACTTTCCCTGAGAGTTAAGCTATTGAGTTTTTGTTAATGCAACATGAGCAGCTTGTAGGAAATGAAAATCACAATAAATTATACATTAAATCAAAGAAGCACTTATACAGTTCTTTCACTAGTCCTTGAGATTTAGTACAGCATATTTTGACATGTAATTGAAGGCCTCGTGCACATAAACAGTTTTTTGTGGGATGTAATAGTCAAAGCCATTGACTGAAATCAGAGAGCTCTTTGTACATCAAAAGCTTTGAAGTAATAAAGGACTGAAACATTTCTTTAAAACGTTGGCAGTGCATCACTTGCTTAAAAATCTGATATTTTGATTGCTGGAAGTCAAATGTTTTAATGCCTTTGCAAAAGAAGTTCTTAAATATGTTAACATTGGTGATAACCTAAAAATGCTAGCTTACATTATAGCAGAGACAGGGAATGTGTGGTTCTTGAATCATTTGAGCTGGTTCTTGAATCGTTGCTAAATTACATCCCTCGCCAATCTTGATTGTTAGCCCCTGTTGCTTGGAGGTTGTATGTCAGGATTATCTGGAAGGTAAAAAGACTTCTTTCAGCATGAATTGATTTTTCAATAAAATTCATTATTTAAGTGAGCATATGCTCTAGTGAAAATGTACTCCACTCAAATGCTTTAGAAGTAGGCTGCTTCTACCAACCATTTGAACTCTTCATTAAATAAAAATGAATGGTGTTACAATGCCCCAATTCTAGAGAAAACAGTTCTCCTATTTCCGTCTCATTCCTATTTTATGCTTCGATACTCTCTGAAATAAAGATAAATTATATTTCAGCTTATGGTAACGTTCCCATTTTGTCCCAGAGAATTTAATTATTTAGGGTTTTCATTGGATTACTAGACATTAGAAATACTCATATAAACTTATGTTGNAGTCAGGCATATTAAGTGGGATTCAAGCAAGTTTTCAGCCAAACAATTAATTGCTCCAAACATTTTATTTTTGGCAGCCTAAAATTTGATGTCATACCCTTCTAGAGTTCTTTGGGTGCAAAAAGATGAAAAGCGATCAGATCCAATGACATCACTTAAAAAGATAAACAAAAGCTGTCTCTGGCAGATATTTGAACTACCCTCTGACAATATGCCTGACTCATAGGACGACCTCTACTGATTCAGAATTCAAACACAGAAACGATAACAGAAGGGCAACTAAGCATGGGTTAAAATATATGAAACATTGATACACATAGAACTTTTAAGATGATGAAATAAAGCAAGATGTTTACCGTTTGCTATAGTATACAATAGATTAAGGGAATTGAAATGAATATTGAACAGCGAGGTTTGCCATTCAGACAACTAAAGGTAACCTAATCCAAGACATGGAAAAATTGGAGAGGAAACATGAAATACATTTATAATGGGAAACTATTGAGACTTAAAGGCAGAATCACAAACTGGGGGCACGTAAGGATGTATAATTATATAAAGATAATGATGAGAATAGCTGGGAACTATAACCAGATCTATATCTCAACCAAAATTAGGTGTGCGGGGTGTGGGGGGTTAAAAGTACAATGACTAGGAGAGACGCTTAGACACGACATGCAATCTTGGAGGTCCAGGATTGCTGTCAATATCTCTGCTGCTGGACGGTCCTTTTGGACCTAAACCATCCTGTAGAGACTATGATAGAGAAGGGCACGTACTGCTGATCTCAGGGACATCGCAAAGTCCCTGATTGATCCAGGAGAAGCTCTTTTTTCTGACGAAAGAGAAGCAGCCATTGAAGCTGCAGAAGGTTGGGACAGCCCCTGAACGGAAAAAAAGCAGGAGAGAGAATGTGTCGAAATGGTGAGATAAATTTTACTATTAGAGAACACCCAAAAAGACTTAGAGTAAAATTAAAATTGAAGACAGAAGAGAGCAAGCGGCGAAGCAAGCCTGTATTAAACTTAGTGTGTTATCTTTTTTTTTAATTTTGCTTTTTTTTAATGGATGGAACTTTTACAAATGCCTCTTACTTTTTAAATTGGACTGGTTTCTTTTTTCCCTCTTCTTCTATTTTTCCTCTTTTTCATATTTGTGGATTATGATTTTCTTTCTTCTTTTTACAATACTCGGCTGGATTATTTGCTTTTAAGCACTTTTTTTTGCTTAAGTTCAGAATTTAAAAAGGGGGTAGAGGCAGAGGAAAAAGAAGCAACACTGCCATCTAGAGGCTGGAGGCTTGGAAAAAAATTTCTTTAATTTCTTTTGAACATCTGACTCATATCTAATACTTCAAGGCTCCTGATAGTGGGAAGAGTACGGATTGTTTATGCAGGTGCTCTTCTGGAGTACTATCAATAGCTGGACTGGAGTGAAGAGAAAACCTTGANGGACTTCTGCTTCGGGATTTCATGGGTTTCCTATGAAAACAAAATAGGATAAATCAGAATCCCATAAGATCTCAACTGCCATCCTTTTATGTAAATATCAACCTCTAGCTCTTAAAAAATATGCATATTTCTTCAACTGTTTTTCTACTACACCATATATGTTTGGTTTGGGGTTACAAGATATATGAATCCAGCCACTTCAGTTTGTAAACCTTGGTTAAGTGCTGCATGAACCCAGCTGGTTTATTCATCAAACCATGGTTAAAATTGGTCATGGTTTAGCCATTTCATAACCCACTCTATGTACAGACACTGACCGGGGACGACAGGAAGTGCTCCAGCTGGACAGACGTGGGAGATGTGGGCTCCTAAGAGTCTCACATGAACCCTGTCTGACAAACCATCTCCGAAGATTCTTTTGAATCTGAACCCTCACTGAAGATGGAGGCGAAGAAGGGCAGCATCTCATCAGACCCTGAGAGAAGCAACTGATCTCTCATGGATTAGAGATTTGCCTATGAATCTGACTCGGGGCAGCAGTCTTCATGGCTGACAAGATGCTGGACTTTTTGTCAAAATAAGTTTGGAACAGGCGGAGACTGGGAGAGAAAACAGACCTGATAAGAGAATGTATCTAATCCACAACCATAAATTAAAACTGGAAAAGGCAAAGGAATTTGGAGAACATAAATAATACTGATGGTCAGATCAGGACTTTTTTTTTCTTAAAAGAAAAGCAAGAAAGGAAGGTGGAGGGTTGTAACACCAGCCCCCCCCCTCCCCCAGAAGTTCTTTGTCTGTGCTTTCGAACAGAAGAACACAAAGCAGAGCAGCCACAAACCCATATAATTATAAACGTTAAATTTGGTTTTGGATCTTAAACAGGAACCAATATTTTTACTTTGTTTAAATTCCTTCCAGCTAAAATAATCAAGAAAAAAAGCATGTCTTCTTTTGAGCCCACTCAATATAAACTCTAATTTGGTCTCAGAGATCAAATAGAAACCAAATATTTTTATCTCTTTTTCTCTGATAACGGATAATCCAACCTTGACTGTGTGAGAAGTTTCAACTAATCAACTACCATAAATCAGAAGCTGCAAGAGCAGGAGACAAAAGATACACATACCCGTACCTAGCTCTTTATAAGTTTGTTCTAACTGATATGCTTTAAGCAGCTGTGGCTGATCAGAGACAGAAGGTAACAGGGGGAAGAATTATTACAAAGATAAGAGCTGGACAAATGCTAAGGTTTTTTTTTCCTTCTCTCTTTTTTCTTCCCTCCTTCGTCTTTTTATTTTACTGCAAAGATTAAGATGGCCCCGGCTTCACTTCCAGCCCCACAGTAGCTAAAATTTAAGGTGGACCAGAACCTCAAAATATAAGACTTTGTATAACTAACTGCAATCTTGGAACTGGATATTAAGGAAGAACAAAAGACCAAGATGGCTCCCACCATTCTCCCCTATAGCAGTGGATGTGAACAAATTTAAGGTGGACCAGAACCTCAAAATATAAGACTTTGTATAACTAAC